GAAACAGATGCGGGTTGACCACAAATGTTGAGTGGTTGGACTCTCTCCCGCATTAGGCACAGCCAAAGAAAAAGAGGCTTAAGACTGTTAAGTAAAAACCAAAAAAACAAGGAGCTGTTTCTAGGACGGATGCGTCATATCACGGAGCATGCCAGTCTTCACTGGTCAATTTAATGGGAGAGCAAAAACATAACGTTGTCTCTGATTGGGCTTTTCCATCTTCCCTTGAGTCTGCTAGTGTCATCATGGTCTCATGAGATAAATGCACACCCTGCAAGTTTGGATTAATTTCTGTCAGTGACACCCCAATATTATACTTGTGTGTGTGTGAGTGTGTGTTTTGGAGCAAGTGAGCGCACAAGTGGGCTTTGGCTAACCTGACACCATTAGCTATTCAAATACAAAGATTTTTTTCCATAGCCAAGAATAGTGTGCGAAGGCTCCCTCTTACTCAATCTCTCTAATGTGACTGGCTCTCCGTCTAGCTTAACCTTTCAGATCTGATAGGCAGCCACCTCAACATGGCCCTGACACCAGACAGAGACATGCAAAAGAAGATGCAGACGAGATCCCCCAGCGAACGTTTGCTGATGCCAAAGCCGCACTGCATGTGTAGAGCTTTTCTTAGCCATCACAGGCCCTGTTCCCACCCACCACTCACACACACACACACACACAACACAAAAGCCTCAGACCTGACAGATTCCCTAAGTGTTGAGATTTCATTTAATCAATTACTGCTATGCTGAGGGTCATCCTATGCTGTGCACACACACACACACACACACACCACACAAGGACAGTCCACTCAACCCTTGTGATGTCATGGGAGCTGGAGGAGAGATCCAGGAAGTAATTCAAAACAGATTATTTTCACAGGAGAAAAAAATAAAAATACCGAGCAGCAGAGCAGTGGGAACCTGTGGAATCCATCCCAGTACCCCGTCACATTTTAACACATTGCAAGTCATTTATCACATCCACCATGGCTGTCAGGATGCTTCTCTCTTTCTCTGTTTCACTCTCCCTCTGCTCTTCTTACTTTCCCCATTCTTTCTCCAACATTTCTTGCCCAACCACCCACTCACCCATAAATCCAGAATACTCAGGGAGTTTTTCCTCAGTGATGAGCACAAGTGGGGCTTTTATTTGTGAATCCTTCCTGTGGTCAGCAAGTTGGCTTGTGGAAGGGGGGGGGGGGGCCACAGCGCTAAGCTTTCTCTGAGCTTTCTCACAGCGTATTCCAAAGCATGACTACTGCTACAGCGAGAGGGAGGAAGGATCTGGCACTATAGACCGTGGAGCGTGGAGTGTGAAGCGGTCATGGCAGAAATGGCATGGCGAGCACATTTCACACCTCCCTTGGAGTGACTGCAAATTTCCTGTACTGCACTTTTGATTGGAAACACATTTGAAACATCTTTTCATGATCACACTTAACGGCATGCAAAGGAAAGAAAAGAAAAAATAAAGAGCAGTAAGAATGAGATCCAAAGTATGACTAAGTGCACGGAACTAACTCTGGACCTGACAAATATTTTTTTTCTTTGTCTTCTTTTTTTCCCCACCTTGAATAAATCAAAAATGTGCTGACTTTGAGCTAAACCAGCACACAGATTATAAATCAAGAAGTCCTGTGAACACTATGAGAAGCAGTTAAATGACTTCTCCTCATATCCACCTAGTCCGACTGACATGGGTGAGAATTGCATATAAACTAGCACTGTGCCTATCCAACGCACTCCATTCATGGGTTATCACGGAGACCCTGCCAGTTTGGGGTGCTTTGACAGACCACTGGCACATCCGGGCCAAGAGATCACTATCTCCATTATAGTACCACTCACTCATGCTTAACAGAACACTAAAAATAATGTACTACTAACTATACTGACTCACAAACCAGTTGCCATGTTCATAGACACACTACTCTGTCTGATTTGATGCTTTTTATCTAAGATGAAAAGCAGGGGGAGAAGGCTGTGTATTGTGACAGCGAGGTTTGCTCTGCAAAGGCTGCAGTGGTGTTACGCTCCGTAAGAGAGAGGATCTCAAATGCTGGCTGGCGGCAGAACAGCCTGAGAAAGCCTGACGGCAAGCCCAGAGATTCCCCGTGGCAGCTTTTGCCACTCTGTCATAAACAAAACACAAGACGTCTTTCTCTTCTTCCCACACCAACGGGGCTCGGGCTCTGCCAAACAGAACAATCACTATCGCAGCCTCTTCTCCTTTCCAACACACTCTCTCTCCCTCTCTCTGTCTCCTACAATATAAACAAAAGAGATCAGCAGAGGCTTTACCTCTGTGAGAGCAACAATGAGGGCGATGTTTAAGGAGACAAAACAAAAGTGTGCATGGGATCAAAGAGGAACGACAAAGACAGAGATGCTGAAGACTGACAAAATGCAAACCAAACAAAAACAAACAATGAGCACATCTTGTCAGTCATTGTGCGACTGAGGCAAAAAAAAAAAAAGAAAGCACGGGTGCACATCAGTGTAATACATAACGTGGCCTTCATGCCTGATGGCTCACAAATATGCATTTGCAACTTACAAGTAAATGAGAGCCAAGCCTGGTAACAGTGGCGACAGGTTTGCAGAAAGCTGTTTGTCCTCTGTCTCACTCTTTCTGTCTGTACATCCCAAGGTGCTGCTCCAACCAGGCTTTAAACTGAGCATTGGCTCTTTGGAGGCAGATAAAAGCACTAAAGCGCACTGCGTTAGACCGATAAGATAAGGCAGAGCACGTAGTAAGTCCACATTATGAATGGGCAGCACACTGGGCAACCATTCTAAGCAGCCATGTGTTTTACTTCACTGCTGTAAACCAAAGTAATGTAATGACAAGTGCGCAGCAACAAAGTGGAGAAGGGGCAGCCAACAGTGCGGCAGAGAACATTTGTCATGACACATTCACAGTTTCTGTGTGTGTGTAGTTTGGTTGTATATGAAAAAACTGAAATATGACATTGTTTCGCTTATCAATTTTTCAACATTATGCTCTGGAGCCACATGCCATAAATGAAATACTTACTGCTTTTAAGAGGACTGGATTATGTTCCTGAATCTAGCATTTCCCTTCTCAATACGTTGTGAAATTTTGAAGGGTCTAAGGATTAGGTGAAAATTTGCTTTAATTATATACGCTCAAATACCAAGCATTATCATCATGATTCCTATCCAAAACTAAGACAACATTTCTCTACATTAGGTGTATTATTTAACTTACAAACTAAATTTTTCTTGAACACACATCCAAAACACAGCTCACTGAGCCAGAATCCACAAAGTTCATTTTGAAAACACTGTCTCTGTTATAAGCCACAGAAAAAAAATAAAATCAATTATGTGTGAGAAACAATTTACCAGAAAAATATAGCACTAAGACATTTCCTCTGTCTGCTGCTATGGTTTATCACCACCACAGACAGACTGACGGAGTGAAGCTGGAGCTGTTGCCAGGATTTGGCAAGGGCTATGTGAGCTGTTTGGCCTGTACCTGTGTGTGTATGTGTGTCAGAGAAAGATAGAGGAACGGCTGTGATAGCGTTTGGCTATATTCACGTTAGCGGGTACCAGGAGAGTTCTGCCTAGGCAGACTGTGTGTGTATTTGGGCTGTGACTGGGGACTGCTGTATATATACATATATATTATTATTATTATTTTTTTTTTTTTGCAATGTGGGGAAAAAACTACAACACTGCCAGTGTTTTGGCTATGTGTGTAGAGTACACACACTGAAGGCTACAGCGATGTTTGGCTGGGTGTGAGCGTGTGTATCCATGATGGTGGCTGAGATACAACAATGCTTGGCTGTATCCAACTGTATCTATGATATTCCTTGGCCGAGTGTGCGTGCTGTGTGGGTGTGTGTACGCAATCGTGACTAAAACCGTGTTTGGCTCTATGTGTGAAAGTGCGCTACAAAGATGACAGAGTTGTTTGTCTTTTTTTTTTTTTTTTTTTTTTATAAATGTGTATCTTTATTTAGCTGTGTTTGTGTGTGTATGGGTGTGAAGGTGGCTGCAGCATTACTGTGAGCACTGGTGTTTTGTGTGTGTGTGTTTGGCAGCAAGGTCCAACATGGTGCTAGCGTTCAGGCAGACGGTGAAGGCAGCAGCAGCCTGTGGCCTGAGAACAGGAGACTCGCAGCTCTGCTCTCTCTCTCATACACACACACACACACACACACACACACACACACACACACACACACAAAATCTGGGCTGTGGCCAAATGACAATCCTTGGCTACAATGGCCTTATCGTGGCACATACACTTCGACAGACTGAGTACAGTCTTATAAACAGCGACTCATCGCACATAAACACAAAATTTGACAGTGGTGATCATCTCATAAAAACACTAACACACACAGACATGCAAATTTCTTCCTATAAAAAAAACAAAATACATGCTCGTATGAAGCCGCAAAAGCCTCGCTCAAAAAGAATTAAATGTGTACTTGGCAGAGCACGCTGACTAAATGCCCTTGACACACACACATGTATTCTTTTTATTGCTGCTGATACTATCATGGCATGTACGCAACCAATAAACCGAAGGTAATCAGAAAAAATATTAAAAAACACAAAAACAATTTGGTGTTTGCTCAGGGAATAAAGTAAGAAAGGATTTGGCATTTTTTCTCAGAGGTAAATATTTACTTCATTTATGTGACTGATTATTGTAAAATAAACACTGAATTAATTAATTTCATATTTTATTATTAGATATCTCAGTTGTAATAATTCTCTCCTAATCTGGAAACAACCTTTTAGTGCATTTTTGAAACTTCCTACAGTTTGGTTTATCTGTATGTAGTTTTATTTATGGTACTCCCTCTTTATCTAATCATGTACAAAGCAAGTGTTTAGGTGTTTTTCTATGTGCATGTCTGTGTAATTATGCAAATGTGTGTATGTCTATAGGCATATGCACACGGGCATGTATAACAAGTGTTTATCTGTTGGCATCCCTCCCTACTGGACACATACCTGGCGTGTGGACGAAGTATGCCAGATAGAGGTCCAGCTCTTTGACGGACACTCCGATGTGATGCGGCTGGACGCACAGGCCTGGGTTGGTGCACTGTGGTGACTTGACCAGCCGTTCCCCGTCCGTGCTCTCCAGGGGGCTGCCCTTGAACAAGATGACCATCACCAGGTCCAGTCGCCACACCTTATCAGCCTGGCGCAGGCAGTCGATGCGACGGATCTTGCCCTTCTGGTCAGGGTTGGACAGCACACAGCAGGGGGGCTTTTTTCCTGTGATGGTGAGCACAAAGTCCTCACGAAACTCAGGCCGGATGTCCTTGCGGAGCTTGGCCAGCAGGCGCGAGGCCCACTTCTGCTTGATCTCTGGCTTCTCCCCCAGCAGTTCATCCTTCACTGCGCGTTCCTCATCCTTGGTCATCCTCTTTTCATGCTTCTTGAAGTACTTGCGCTTACGGGCCTGCAGGTTGAACCAGGTGTAAGCGAAGGCGCGGACATGGGGCAGCAGGGCCTCGATGAAGGGGTGGAATTCATCCTGGATAAGGGATGAGGACGGGGGGAGGGTGGAGGAGGAGAGGGAGGAGGGGGGGAAGCAGGAGGAGGTGGTGGAGAGAGAGGGTGAGAATGGGGGAGAGAAGGATGGGGAGAGAGGGAGTGGGGGTGAGGAAGGGAAGAGAGAGGAGAGGCAGTTAGCACCGGCACGCAGCATGGAGGAGCGGCGCCCGCTCTGTGTGAGAGGCGGGAGAGAATGAACGAGAGGCGCCGAGAGAGAGAAAGAAAGAGAGAGAGAGACAGAGAGAGAGAGGGGGAAAGATGCTTTACACTCGCTACCTAACACAGACATCACATTGAAGGACACACTTCACAAAACACTGAACAATACTGAGAGACGGAGGTAAGAGATGAGACAGAGAAATTAAACGTCTGCTAACATGGTTTTCCTCACACAATAGTGGAGGAAGTATTTATGTGCCTGTCTAATATAAACAAATGTGTTAGTTGTAAATAAAAGTACTACCAGACTTAGCCATTACAAAACTACAACAAAAGCACTAATTCAAATTCAAAAACACTAATTAATTTAAAAAAAAATTCTAAACATTTTAGAACTGCATCTGGAAAAGTATAAATCTTGTAAATACAACCTAGCATATGTATGTATGTATACAACACTGAGGTAATCTGCAAACTAATTTACCATATAAATTTTAATGATTAAAATTAAGACAAAAATTGATGCATTAAAAAGACAGCACAAAATCTTTGCCCATAAATAGCATAATTGCATTCACATTCAAAACTACTTAATATTCATTATCACAAAAACACAAAGAATAACACAGTAGTTACCATTTTGCTCTCTCATCATAAATTCACCCGTCGATTGCTAAGAAACTTAAAATGCGCCACAAGTTCAAAAACTGGATAGTTGAGGCAAAAGGCGTTGAAGTGATGCCGCATATATTAGAAATCAAAAGACTGAGGGGGGGAAAGAATAAGCTAAACTGTCCAATAAAAGCAGCAGGGGGGAAAAAAGCTGAGAAAAAGAAGACAGGCCAAGGGGGCGCAGTGTAATACCAGCACAGGAACACAGGAGGTACTGTAGCAGGAGCTGCAGGAGAGCTGCTGTTCAAGAGTACAACAGAAGGAGAGTGTACAGAAGTTCAGAAATCTCTCCGTCTAAAAGGATTAAAAAAAAAAAAAAAAAACACCGGCCATGCACAAACACAATAAAATAGATGTTGCAGTATAAAGGATCAAATTGTCAAAAACTTAAATAAAGCCTCTGCAAAAAAAAAAAAATGTAGAAAAAATCTTGTTGAAAAAACAATAAAAATGCTTGGCAAAGCAGAGCGTGCTATTGGTTCAGTTCTGTAGGATCTGCATAAGACTTGCGGAGAGGGAGAGAGAGAGAGCTGGACAAGGGGGGTGCAGACAGAGGAGAAGAAGGAGGAAAGAAAAAAACAAAAACAAGAGGACCGAGTCAATGTTGGAAGAGTGTGCACGACCGCTGGCAAACCCGAGTGCTGCTTCTTTTTTCCCCCTCTTTCTCCCCAACTCTGTCTCTCTCTTCCTCTCCACTTTCCTTCTCTAACCATTGACTGAGTCTGTGCCAACACGCAGAAGGCCCACCTATTTGGCACCGAGTCTCAAACAGCCCAGCCCATTAGCACGCTCCCAGC